TTTTTTTATTATATATAGATGGTCACCTCCTAATTTAACTCGCTGAAATGTGTCTCTTTTCCATCGCGCAGTAATGGTTTACTTTTGGCAGATGGTGCTAAAAGGTTTTCCGTATCTCAATGGACTCAATCATCAATTTGACATCCTACGATATATTGATACAGGTCTCTTGTGCAATGACCAGTTTTCAACCTCTTAAGTGAAAGGTAGGTAGGTTAAATCAGAATATTTATTTTCATCTACCAGTTTGAATATTCGAGAAATCTTATTAAAGAAAATTATGTGATCTTCTTGCAGGATTCGATCCTACGTTCCGCTGAGCAGAGAAAAACATCTTAGATCCGACGTGCCTTAATAGATTCCGTCAAGAACATGATTTGCCGATGGTCAAGGTCTGAATAATGACTTTCACCGAAATCCTTCTCGTCATAGATACTTCAAAATTATCATATCTGCACTGTTTCGTATACAAACGTAAACAAAGTAATTTTTTAAGAAGAATGGGTTTTTATTTTTTATTGATTAAGCTAGTACACAAATTTAACTCTCTGAGTCGTATTAAAACAAACGATGAAGTATAAAATATGCCTTACAAAAGGTAAGTAAAGTATAAAGAAACCCAGAAAAGAAAGAAGCGCTGATCCGACATGTAATTCTGTTATATGGACAGAAATGCTGGACATTTTTCCTTACACATGAACAGAAGACTTATGGCAACAGATATCTGGTTCTACAGGTGATTATTGAGAATACCATTGACAGAACACATGTGCAACCTGGATACCATTCCTGGAACATGTGTAGAATGAGGAAATGACGTTTGCAGCATTTGACACTCACCAGGAACGCTGAATTTAACGGAAGAGAAAAACAGCCAATCAAAAACCTAAAGTGCTTTTTGAAATCGATAGCAGAACATAAGCATCGAGGGATAGTAAAGGAAGAAATTCTGCTGAAAGCTATAAAAGATTGGAAGTTGTGGACAGACATGAACTCAAGGAACACACCTCACAAATCAAAAATAATATTCTACTATACTAATCTTCAATGAGAGGATCAGTATTTCTTGTGTATAAATATTTGTGTCCCATGTTTGAAAAATAATAGTTGCCGCTAATCAAAGATTGGCTTTTTTTTATATACTTTTAAGGAGAGGTCACGCATAATAGGTTCGGTTATTTTTCAGTTAGACAATCGATTTCGATTTGGGTTTGAGTTCTTTCCTATTTACCAATGCATTCATGCAACTGCGAACGGCATGCAACTGCGAACGGCATGCAACTGCGAACGGCATGCAACTACTTACTCTAAGACTATTATACCGCCGCCAGATATCTGTGCAAAATTTTCGTCACTGTTATAACACATCGGTGAATGCATTGATGAGTTTCTTTAATACCGTAATTTTTCGAAAATAATACGCACCCATGAATAATACGCACCCCCCAAAATGATCCAAGAATTAAGAAATATACGCACCTATAAATACGCACCTATAAATTAAAAAAAAAATAATAATAATAATTACGAAGACATTTTGTCGACCTTGACATTAAGAATAAAATCGAATTTAAGTGACTAAAATAATGTTGAAAATTATAATGTCTTGGAACTTATTGTAAAATGGATTCAGGAATCTTGAAATTCCGTCAGTGAGAATGGTTTAAAGAAAGGTTTCAAGAAGTGTTGCCTCACGACAGCCATGGATGGCTCTGAAGATGACATCCTTTGGCAAGAGAATGAAGAGGCCGAAGATAATATTGAACAGGACAAATATTGTTAATGATAATTTGTTTAATGACAATTTAGATATTGATTCTATAATAGAAAGTGATGATGATGATGATGATGATTAAAATTTCAATAAATTGTTAACTTGATAGCCTCTTTTCGAAATTCGCCTTTTTATAGATTTTTTTTTAATTTTTTCGCCAAATATAAAATGATAAACATAAATTTACTGACAAAAAACATTTAAAATTATTATTGTTTGATTTAAAATGAAAATTGGGATGATATATTTCTTTTTTTAGAACAACTACATATTGATTATTGTAAATCAATAACGGAAATTTTTTTTCTTTAAACCTATCTATAATACGCATCCCTACTATCACCTGTAATTTACAGTAAAAAAATGCGTATTATTTTCGAGAAATTACGGCAGTGCTTTTTATCCGACATGCCAGTCATAAATAAATCATATATATATATATATATATATATATCAGTGTGCGCGTGTGTGTGTGTGTAGAGAGAGAAAGAGAGAGAGAAAGAGAGAAAGAGAAAGATAGGTAATTCATACTTGGGTAGCTGTGAAATCTTTCCGTAGATGAGCGGTCTAAAATAAACCGGGATTTACGGCGAATTTCAAGATAAGGAAGACTATGCAGCGCCATATACCGTAAACTTGCTTTAAACTTAATAACTCAAAAAACAATGATTTGCGGACATGTTTATATGGACTTTTCTTCTTGTATTGGTGCGAGGAACTCGTCGCCAAATTTTGTAAATGTATTTTTGATACACCGTATATATATATATATATATATATATATATATATATATATATAGGAAAAAAAAGTCAATAGGAAAACTGTGTCTTTTTTTCCTTTATACATATTGTCTTTTTCTACAGATTAATTCTGAGAATTGTTTGCATATAAATATATATGTGTGTGTGTGTGTGTGTCTTTGCGTCTGTGTCTGTGTGTGTGAGTGTGAAAGAGAGAGAGAGAGAGGAAAAGAGAGTGGGGGACGAAAGGTGAAAATAAAAAGTAAGAGAAAACGCTTGGGTAATCGATATAAATTCGAATGTAAGCACATGGATCCATCTCATGCCGTTCTTTTATTGATTTTGGAATTTTCAGAACATTGTAAAGCAGAAAATGGCTCACTGTTCCCGTGTTGGGTAAAAAAAATCGATTTGAATTCCATTGTCAGTCAAAAAGCCTTCAAGTTGTCACAAATCGAACTTCTTGATATCGATTTTTTAAACGATCTGCCGTCCGAGGTCAAATTGATTTTTTATAATTTTTTTTTTTTTTCCCAACCGATCTCAACTTTCTTCTTTCCTCCGTCAGTAAAACTTTTGAATTCTAACTGTCTTCTCTTTATGTCACTGTTGTCTTGCCTTTCTTACCACTGGCATAACGAGACGGGACAAACGCTGACATCGATTTTATTGATCAGTCCGTGCGATTAATGTGCATGAATAATCGATATTTTTTACGATGGAAGCAGACATTTGCAGAATAAGGTATCACAAGTATGACATCAATTATCGTGGACTGGCCTACACGCAAACAATTTCTTTACCTGTTCAAGAAATAAGTATCTGTTGATTGGATTCGAACCTGCAAAATTAACGTTTAAAAGTTAATATTACCTTAATATCACAGTAGAAAGAAACAAAGAAAACAGTGCTGAATTGCTTCGTGACATCAGTCCTCTTGTATGGCAATGAAGATAGAGAATATGAAGCGGAAAATTGTGGCAACAGAAATTTGGTACTTGTGTATTGAGCACTCTTTTAAGAATAGTATTTTTCGGTTATTGGAATTTATTCCGTATACACCAATCCTATACTTGGGCATATATATATATATATATATATATATATATATGGTGCAGCTAAATCTAGTAATTTGTTTTTACAAATGTAAACAAACGTCAATCAGCCGAGTGCTTCATTCATTTTACTGAAGAGCTTCGCATTAACCCAGGTGGCTGTTGTTTGTAGAATTAGCTTCAATTGAAATATATTTTCAGGACATATATATATATATATATATATATATATATATATATATATATATGTGTGTGTGTGTGTGTGTGTGTGTGTGTGTGTGTGTGTGTGTGAAAAGTGTATATAAATATAAATAAATATATATATGTATAATTATTTATATATTATATGCGCAGTACTTTATTAAAAGCGCTCAATATCAGAGATAGAGCTAACATATTTGACGATCACTAAAGCGTGAAACCCAGGGTCACAAACTCACATCTATCCAACCAAATATATATATATATATATATATATATATATATATATATATATATATATCGTCGTGACTCTCCACAATTTCCTGATATTTGTAGCTAACATTTGCAAAGGCTTGTTGGGTAGATTATGCGCTGCTTTCCTCTGCCCCCCACCCCTGCCTACACTATGCCCAGGGACTGTCAAATTTTCTAATCATGCTTTCCTCATGAGGAGACCCAGAAATTTCAACTGTCTGTCTATGTGCAAGTGTCCTTTTTGTTTTTACTTTCTCTAAAACTTCATAGTTGCTCACATGTCCAGTCCATGGTATTCTCAGCATCCTTCTGTAGAACCCGATTTCTGTTGCCTCAAATCTCTTCATCTTTCATGTAGGAGAACTGGTATTACATAACAGTTCAGTGCCACTTTCATTGTTTTCAACGAAATGCCCCTGCTTCTTATTACTTTGCCTAATTTTTGGAAGTCATCGTTCACTATTGCAATGCACCTTAGGACTTCGGTGTCGTATTTTTCGTTATCTGTTAAACCCTTCCTAGTGTACAATATTTCTTCTTGTTTGATTTTGATGTTTATTAATCGCTGTTCATAACTTGGACTTTTCCTATTGCTGACGAAAACACATCCTGTCATCTTTAAATTGAGGTTTAATTCTTTTCTTCTTTCCTTTCTTTCAATATATTCTCTATGCGTAGTTTCCTTTCTTTGTTTGCCATCAATATATCGGATACATAATGAATAATGAATCCTGACAGGACTTCTAATTCTCTTAGGACCGTCATATGTTGAATTAACCCGGTGAGAAGATACATCCTTGTCTTACGTCTTTTTCTATTTTTGCGTATTTATTATCTACAGCCGGCATGCTAAACAGCTCGAAGGTTTCCATATTAGAAGCCTCAGAACCCTGCTCCCTGGCAAGAAATTAAAGCGCTCTAGCGTGCTTGGATAGAGGGCATCCATGCCATCCTACTATGGCCACGTCCACAGCATGGACAACTACAGCCTCCCAAAGAGATTGCTCTATGGCGATCTATCCACATGCAAGCGTTCACTCGGCAGACCAAAGATGCGTCACAAATGCATGCTGATGGAGTCTTTCAAGCATTGTGACATTCCCTATTCCACCTGGGAAGAGTCTGTTGAGGTCCTTGCCATCTGGCGCTCCCTTGTAAAGTCCGGAAAATCAGGGACAAAGAACAGAGACACCAGAAAAGGAAAGATCGAGAGGGCTCTGCATAACAGGCTGGTTCAGTCCCCAGCATTCCATGTCACAACTGCAACAGACTTTTCAGGGCAAAGGTTGCATTCATTAATCATTTCCGCCCCCCGCCCCCAGTGAAGTCAAAGTCATCTGCGCTTGAGAGGAAGAATATATATATATATATATATATATATATATATATATATATATATATATATATATATATCCCATGTGGTGAAAACTAGGTAGGTAGTACTTGGCTCATTAGGATTTATTTTACCTTTGCTCTACTTAGTGTATTGAGCACTCTTCGTTCTAACTTATTACTCACTGTGTTTTTTTTTTCTTTGTACCAGAAATTTAAGATACTGAACGATTTCTTTCGGCCTATTCAGAGGTTTCTGCTTCTTTCTTTTTTTCTAAATTTTTTTTCCTTTGATGCCAATTGCTTTGAAAATTGTGCTGTCGAGGTTTTTTCACCCGCCGAGTTTAAATAGATTTACCTTATATATATATATATATATATATATATATATATATATATATATATATATATATATATATATATATAGTTAAATTCCCAGATCAATTCTGTGGACAAGACAGATTGGTATGAAATGACAACTGGAAAAAAAATCTTAGATTTTGCCTTGAAAAAGTCGGAAGACGAAACGCGTCGGCAAAATCTAAGATTTTTCAATTGTCATTTTTTACCATATATATATATATATATATATATATATATATATATATATATATATATATGAAAAAAAATATATACGGAAAAACAAACAAAAATCCTTATATACAATTATGCTGTTTTTAATGTTAATATGTCAACGTCGGACGTTTCGGTCTAACAAACCATCTTCAGGACATATTCATAAAATTCATTAACATTATCAATTCAACATGACAAAGACGATGTACATAAGAACAAGACTTATCCAAACAGATAACAAATTTTAGGAATACGTTTTCACAGCGTCACCCACGTGACGACAACGTGACCATGTTTTAAACGGAGCGCTGATCTTATAAAACTTTCAGTTATCTGTTTGGATAAGTCTTGTTCTTATGTACATCGTCTTTGTCATGTTGAATTGATAATGTTATAATTTATGAATATATCCTGAAGATGGTTTATTAGACCGAAACGTCCGACGTTGACATATTAACATTAAAACAGCATAATTGTATATAAGAATTTTGTTTGTTTTTTTTTCCGTATATATGTTTCTTCATACTGTCGGATCTATATCCATATATTTGCTTGCATATATATATATATATATATATATATATATATATATATATATATATATATATATATGCGCGCGCGCGTGTGTGTGTGTGTGTGTGTGTATTTAGTGAATTCATTTTCTATACGTATGCGTGCATTTTGCTCCTATATAATTTCTGGATTTTTCTAATAACGTTAACGTAACAGTTCAGGACTCTTTCGTTAGTTTCTAACGCCTTTTTTTCGTTTTTTTTTTTTTTTTTTTTTTTTGGCACGGCTTGTTCTGCATTTGTTAAAAACATATCGTTCATACTGAAATCTTTTAACTTGCTTGATTTTGATAATTCCAATTCGTAGTTCAGATGTTGATCTCTTCGTCTTTGCTGATAACCATTCTGTCTTCTCATTGTGTTTATTTCTTTATCTCTTTCCATTCCTCCTTTCTATAGGAGTTCATTTATTATCCTTCCTGTGTCCGCTCTCAATACTGTGTCATCTGCAAAACAAATGTTGTTGACATTGTGGCCGCTAATAATGAATCCTACTACGAACAGTGAAACAGTTTTCATGAAAATATCTAAAGTTAGAAGTATGGCTCCGATATAAATTTCGAGTAAAGAACATTGGTAAAATCTTAAAATTGTTTTCTTTTCTTAATCAACGCAAAATGTTTCGCATTGAGTAACAATTAAATTATGGACGTACATACGTATATTGTGGCTCAATGCAATATATTCAAGATTTACGTTTTAACAGATTTTCTTTTAACCCGCAGCCTACGTTATTTCTTCTTATATGAAAAGGCGCCGATTTTCAGTGAACTTAAAAAGATTATTTACTTACTTATATTAGTGCATCATTTTACTTTCAATTATTGCCACATGACGCAAACTTTTATCGGTGCATTATTTAAATGATTAACTCTAAATAATCAACGGTAACGTTTGAAAGCCATCTGACACTTGAAGATAACTTTAATCAAAGACACACACATTTCTCTTTGTTCGTTTTAATTTAGACAAAAATGGCAGTATTTTTTCTCAAATGATTTATTGGCCAATAAAAACTGCTCTCAAGAGTAAGTTTCACTGATCATTTCAATTTAAATCTGTTCAAGTCTATCGTTTATTGTTCCACTCTTATACATATAAACTGCCGCTTAATGTAACCCTCTACCTCGAGCGGCCCTCGGGCCTTGTATTGGGTGAAGGTTACTGTAAAAAAAAAATAAGGATCTCTTATAAAGTTTCAAAAATACTCATTTAAGTACTGCACTAACCGTTTAGATAAATTATGAAATAAGTGGCCAAGTAATCGTTCTAATTATTTACATTGTTCAGACAGTTGTCCTCATCTTTATTATCGTGTTCATGACGTTTCCGCTGTTGTAAAATCCGGCCTTCTTCAGGTGAATATCGAACTGAACCTTTTTTTCGACCACCTGATTAGATTGTTCTAGTTCCACGTGTCATGCCTCTTCCAGATGTCTCAGTTATCTCAATTTAAGTTAATTCTACAAGTTTTTGTTCGCCACTGTAGCTGTAGCTAGGTATTGAACTCACAACTCTTTTCGGTCTAGTCACTGGATTCAACCAACGCTTCTATCCACTAGGCTTTGTGTCCTATGTAACGCGATTAAGCGAAAGAAGTGCTATGTAATTTCTGGCGATTTTAAAATACTCCTGATATGCGTAGATAGTCCAATGGTTACTAAAGCGAGCAGATGAATTCGCTGGCAGAGTTCAAGTTCTGAACTCATCTCTTGTATTCATTATCTAAAAAATGCACTTTTGTTAAAGCATGAATCCTGTCATAGAAATTATTATTTGGAAGCAACTACAAAAAATTAAATATTTGGGAATTGTTTTAACAAATGATAATCACGATCACAAGTAACCCTCGAGGGTCGTAAGGGGTACCACATGTACTGTAGCTGTAGCAGCAGAGGCGTTTCCTTTGGGAAGACAGCCTGATGAAACCAAACCTCTTTGAATTCAAACTTTCCCCTCGACTGGTTGCCTGATAAGGTAAAAAAAAATCCAGCCTTTCCTGCTATTTAACCATAGCTGGGGAGGGGGAAGTCGAGATGATTCGTACCTTACCTAAGGCTATTAGCAAGTAAGTAAATGTAATGAACTCGAATAATTCTTCGATTCGAACCCTTATCTATTTATCCACTTTGCTCCCAAATGCGGAAAATACAATACCAAAATCCAAAGGTGCATTGGAATAGCGAAATCTGTCTTCGAAAAATCAATCCTTAAAAACGGAGAAATTCCGTTGGGGAAAAAAAAAAGATAAGACTCTTCAATCCTCCTGTATGTCACTGAAAGGCTAGACAATATCTAGACGGAGAGGAGAGTTGAGGTGACAGTGATGTGTTTCTACAGAAGGCTGCAGAGAATATGGAGCAAGGAGAACATTTTAAGAAAAATGGTAACAAAAGGGATCAAAGACAGTTAAAACATCTGAGACCCATAATGAGAAAAGGGGGGCTTGGAGAATATGACACTCAAAAGACGTACTCAATGCAAGTTTCTTTTCTCTCGCCTGTAAAACTCACTTTCGACCAATTGGTTCGAATCGACTTTCATTTTCAAAACATTAAATATAATGACAATCGCTATCGTTTGTCCTCTTAATTCTATTTCATTTATTATTCTCTATCCTTAATACACTTTTAGATTCAGTAACCCCCATCCTTGCGTCTTAGTGGCTTTATTCCCTTGCTTAGGGAAAAATGATTAAAATAAAAGAGCTATGGAAGAAACAACCAGTAATATTCCTAACTAGTCTTTGTAAACTGATAGGAAGATAGGGACTGTAGTAAGTAGACAGATATAGCTTAGAGCTACAAAGGATATGAAGTTGTGGAGGGACATGATCGCTCAAGTCTAGAAGGAACGCGAAACATGAATGAAGAATAGAACAAAAAATAAAGAAATCATACTATCATGTTCGTCGTAGAAGTGAGCATATTTGGCAGATGTAGCGCCATGCGCAGCTTGCGTCAAGTTTCCAAATTTGAGTTATTTCTCTTGGCGTCATTATTCTTAAACATTTTCATCTTCAGGGTCAGGAAGAAACAAACGAAATCTTCGCAACAAGGCATCTGCTTCCATAATAATTCCGTCTCATGGGAATAAGATATAAACCTGTTCAAGCTTATATCGTTTCTCCACGTTGAGCTTCTTATGCGGCATATTTTAGGCAGCCTGTCGCTCTGCGCAAGAAGGCTTACTCATAATTTCGACATTACGGAGTGAGAAAAGTCTCCTGAATATCGGAAACGAGTTTTCACTGGCTGTGAAATGTCCTTCTGCGCTGCTCTAACCACCTATAGAGAAACTGTTCATTAGCAGTAATAATATCAATAATCACAGGCTGGATTTTGTGGCGTCAATCAGAACAAAACATTTACTATTCAAATACAAGTTTATCTCGTAAATAAACCTCGTATTTACCAATATAAATCTCTTCACCGTTCTACTGTGTATAAAGTAAAGTGTTTTTTTTTTCTGATGCAAAAGTTTTCAGCAATTTTCGTACGAACACCTTTACCCAAAAATGAAAAACGGGAAGAAAGGAATAAACTTCAATTTTAAGATATAGAATGTACGGTCATAATCAAACGGGACAACTATAAATTCGAAATATTAAAACCAAACAAGTATATAAATTCTCTCCGTTAATATATCTGAGATACCTCTCTCTGCTTTCCATCGGCATGGCTGATGCTAACCTTCAGGAAAGTGATCCATTGCAACTCGGGCTAACGTACTCAGCTGACATGAAGTGTAAAAACTATATTGAATCCATTGCTAGGTCATTTGCTAAGAAAGTCGGTTCATTGTGTCAGGCGAGACAATTCTTCACTTCTGAATTTATCTT